TAAAGGATTACTCAAATGTGTGAATGATACAAAACGCAACTCTGGTGATGTTTTTGATGAGGTAACAGCATTCTAACATGGCTTAACACTCACTCAAGTCAATGGAATGTAATATAGGACCTTTAATTGAATTTCATAACATAAATAAATAGACATTTTTTTCATTTTATGCTATACCTAAAGATAACCATTTTGACAAGTTAGCCTATATTGTTGCTATGACATCTTTGGCCTTCCATTATATTAAATAGCCAATTTTGCTACTTATTTTGAATTTTAGTATGATTTAGATTTTTTGCTCTTTATCATTTTAATGCAATGTGTGATGTTTACACTTGAGTAGTATGATGTCACAATATATTTTGGAGTTAAAATTACTGTGAGAGAAAAATCACCACAATTTACTTAAACCTTAATTTTCTTTCATTTCTGTAGGCTAACTTATAACCAGATTTACCTAAATTGACCCTTGTGAACTTAAAACCATGTTGTTACCTCCTCAAAAACATACCTCGAGTTGTGTTTCCCTTTATTATACATTATCTACATCTCTAGTGCTCAAAATGCTCTGTTCTACCTTCTGATGTCATGTTGTGGTAGTTTTCAAGTGAACACCTTTTACCTTTTGTTTAGCAGAGATTGGCAATTCCAGAGATGAATTATTTAAATGATGTTTTGTGATGGTGTATGGAGTTTAAAAACACGGTAGAGCACTTTCTGTATTACCACATGAGATTGCAAAGTGTTTTCTGTTTGAGAGAAGCACTCAGCCTAAATATGCAGGGTCTGAGTGTTAAACATGTGAATGAAAAAAAAAAAAAAAACACAACTCCAGATATGTTTGTGATGAGGAAACATTATAACATCAGATCAGAACAACAGATCATAAAATAGCGTAATATGGGCACTTTAATGTGACATAAACAGACAGTTAAAAATACACTTTATATTAAGACTATATCATGACCTGGAAATTAAAACTGAAACTGATTATTGAATGACTGAATAATGTTAACATCCCTTCTGTCATGTCCGATTGAGGATATCCAGTATACCCTTGTTTTTTTTTCAAAATAAGACGAATGTCAACTGCCTGTATAGATCAGAGTGCAAAGGTCAGATGGGGTCAAAGGTGACAGTCTCGTAGGCTATCTGTATATGCCCCCACCCCCCTCGTCTCTCTACACGCCTGAGGTCAGCGTGCTTGACTCTCTGTAAGCTCTCTCATTAGTATTCTGGAGAGGTGGATGGCATAGGTCCAGTTTGTGTGTGCTTATGGTGAGGTGTGTTGGAGTAGATTAGAATCTGTTTTGTGTAGAAATAAAGTTCACATAAATAAACCGTGCCCAAATCATGGCTTAGTTGGAACTTAATGCAGATCTCGTAATATTGTCATTTAAAGGCACCCTACCTGATTTTTACCACCTTAAAAGTATGAAAAACAGAACAGTTTGCAGCAGTCTAAAGTTATTCCTCAGTTATTATTTGTGTGCATCCTAATTATTCACTTCCACAGATGAATGCTGTTGTTGTGTCCTTGTGCATACAGCAGCCAGCAGACATCTCTACTTGTAATGGTGTATTTGATTTATATATCACTTTTTTTTTTTTATCACTCAAACACCTCCCTTATTTGACCTCTCCCTGTGACTTCCCTTGCAGTTATGCATGTAGCTAATCAATTTATGATTTTCATTCTGTTAATGTACACACTTTCTCTCCATTGTGTGTGATCAATAACACTTCAAACAAAAGCACTTCAAAAACAGCTCAGTTAGGGTGACAAGGGTTTAGTGAAGGCTGTGAGTGTTGGGTGCTGGGCAGAGTGGCAGAGGGTACAGACTATACACACATCTTGTCCCAGAATTGCTGCTGTTGAATTAAAGAATAATAGAATTCTGCTGAGGTGTCTTTTTAAGCTCCAATCAATGACCAAGAAAGTCTGGTGGTACTAGTGCGGTACGTTCTGCAGACCAAGCTTCATAAAATCCAAAACATGAAGCTGTAATACGAGCAAGCCCATAAGTCGGCATTAAAACGCCTCTGCTTTGGGATGCATAGTATTTCTTCACACTGATCACACTAGAATGACTCTGATTGCCTCGGAGTGAGCCCAGCATTCATGAATCCAAATATTTCAGCTGGTGTCAGCAGGTACCGCTGCATCCAACTGAGTTTCTTTCCACATGAGCTGTGCTGATGTATAAGCGCAGTCGTTGTAAGGCAGCATATTCACTGATCTCCAAATGGAAATGGAGGAGCAGGAGTCCTGCATTGAAGAGCCACACACAAGCAGCAGGCCCCCGTTAGGGATCTGCACTCACATTGTGTGGACTCCTCTCCACACTCAGCGCTGTGTGCTGTGGCTGAGATGATGAAGTGCTAAAGTTGCATTTCTCCTCGGCCCTGAGGCCAGAAGAGCAGCGTGATTGCCTCTGTGTGCTACATTACACTGACATGATGGAGAATACTCTCCTGGGGCCTGGAATAATGTGAGAGCAAAGCGGAGAGGGGAATAGCCCATCCCGGGCCACTCTGCTGGGACCCTGGAATTCTGTGCGTGGAATCGGATTTGGTGATAGATCTCTGTGCGCCACCGACTCAATATTGATGACCGACAGAGCCTGGGCACTGTGCATGGCACCACACTCCAGGAAGTTCTCTAATCCAACTCCTCCCTGCTGTTTGTCCCAGATCAGCCCACCCCCTCCCACTCTGATGGAGAGGGAGCACTGGTCTGTGACCAGACCAAACCATTTACACGAAAAAGAGCCTATACGCTATAATACTGTGGCCACACCACATTGTCAATGCATGATCTCTTTTGAGCTCAAAAGCAAGGCAAGCCTGGGCCAGGTTAGTACTTGAATAGGAGGCCACTGGGAATACCACAGAGGGGGAGCAGTGGCTCAAGTCGTTGTGCCCTTAGGCAAGATACACCCAACTTGTAGTATAAATGAGGTGTGTGAGTGCTGGTGGTGGTCAGAGGGACAGATGGCGCAGATTGGCAGCCTCACTTCTGTCAGTCTACACCAGGGCAGATGATGTACAATCATCCAGTGGCACACTCTGTCCTCTCTTCAAAATTGTGTTATAAATGAAATTCTAGAGTTACTGAGGGGGCAACTAGAACATGTCATATTATGGTAGTTTGATCTGTTTGTAGTCAGCCTCATTTATCTGTACCTAGTTATATATATTTTAGCGTGTGTTTGTGCGTGTTTGTGGTTGTGTGTATGTGTGTACGTGTGGCTGTGTGTATGTTTGTGTGTGCACGTGTATGTGCGTGTGCGTGCATATGTGTGCATGTGGGTTAGACTGTGCATGTGACTGTCTGTGAATTGTATGATTGTGTGAGGTCGGGCAGTTGTGGGGGTAGGGGGATTGGGTGGAAGGGCACTAAGGATTGCTTTTTAATGACTGTAAAGCACTTTGTGTTACATTTTTGTATGAAAAATGCTTTATAAATGATGTTTGATTTGATTTAGGGTGACTTGCTGATTTAGTAATCATACTTTTATCTTAACTTTTGCTACATCTGCTAATGTGTTTTGGTGGTACTCCTTGACTGTGCACCTGTGTATATTCACAGGCACCTCCTATTGTGCTCCTATCTGTCTCCTCCTGAGCAGCAGACGGTGCAGTGCTCATGGCTCCTCACAACATCTGCAGGCATCCCTCTACAGGTCTCCAGATGCACTTAATTGCCTCCATCTTTGTCAAAAACACACATTTAAACTGCAATTACACCCCCTGCCCCGTTTCCTCATGTGTGCCCTAACCAATTTCAAAGTCAGGGGCATTATGTAAAAGGAAGTGAACACAAAGTAAAAAATAAAACAAATATATACATTTAGTTTTTTTTTTAAACTTTTGGTTTCTCACTCCAAAGCCAAACACAATTATGGAGCACAGCATAAAAAAGCATGCAAAGAGACCAAAATATACACCCAGGGTCAGTTTTGAGCCCATTGAGGATAAATATATTCATTAGATCAGATGATATTAGTGACAGGACTAGTGACAGGAAAGATAACATTCCTCAAATAAAAACAAGAAGCTCCTTTCATCACAGAGCAGCAAGGCTCAATTTCACATGGCTTCACTGTGGAGATATTGCAAAATCTCCACAGATCTGACCTCTAACTTGGCCTGATGGCATCACTTGCTTGTCTCCATGGATAAATGCATTTATGGAATATTCCAGGCAAAGCAATAACATCTCCATGGAGACAAGCAGGTGGTTGCTCCCTATAATAAAAGTTATAGGCTAGAGCACCTTTAAGATAGGCGTACTAATTAGAACCATGTGTGATTGAAGCCTGAGATTAGGCTGTAGCAAAGGGCTGTACAATCTATGGCCCAAGAGACAAATACAACCTTTTCCAAATGGTCAGACTGGACAACTATATACAGTCTATACATATATGATATAGATATATCTATGTGGACACCCCAGCTGTAGCCCATAAAACTGTCAACATTTAATTCAAATATAGCTTTGAACGAATGTGGTCTATAGCCTATAAACAGTAGACCTATAGCCTAAACAAAATCTAATCTAAACAGAATCTGGGCTAAGCCAAAAATGAAATATGTTGGGGACGCATTCCCCTTTCTGTTGAATCCAGCAAAACAGATAATCCATCACCTCTCTGAAAGAATGGGGTGTATAAGAAGGGATCTGACTGTTTTGGCCTCATCCCCAACTCATGACAACTGTCCAGAAGTGCTCCAGTAACTAGTCTAGTGCAGAAGGCAGAAAAAAACATCCCTTAGCTGTGATTAGATGTAGGCAGTGACTAACCATAGATCCATACTTGGGACTTCTTAGAGTTGCATTCATTTTAGCCATGTTACCAAGTATTAATTTACTTTCATGTCCATAGCTTTCCTCTGCTCTTCAGATGCACGAATCTGATTGGTTATTATTTGTGAGCGGCTCAGCTGATTGGCTGTTCCTTGTTTCCGGGGGCTCCAGCGCTTTCACTGACGTTTCTCGGTCTGCCCCAAGACAGACTGGAGAGAATGGCTGCCAGTGGAGGTTAGCTAAAATCATTGTTTTCTACGCCGGGTTGACTTAAAATGTGTATTTATATTGTAGTTTTTCGTTGCTATTGTGATGTTGTGTGTGCCACGGGGAAAATCGCGACACGTTTCTTTCTTTTAAGGTCGAATCGAGCTCTAAACGACTTCTAAAATTGTTGGTAATCGTTAGCCATTTGAGCTGCTAGTGTTAGCTCTTTGGCTAACTTTACACCGGTTAGCCGTAGCCTCTAATGCACAGCTGATTGAGTAAACATCTCTGTCATAGACGGTGCGACGATATCATAGGCTTGACATTAGGTTGTAGTCACTTATCTCACTATTTTAGTCTGTGATCTAAGTTGTGTATCTGCGTAATGTGATCTCCAGTGCATAAAAGTATTTTAAAGTCGTATTACATGGTGGATAAGATCTTTTGCTAGCATTAGCTCGCTGCCTAGCTCTTGGCTAAAAGTTGAGCACTAAAGCTGCTCGTTTAAAATCAACACCCGCTCTATTTCTTCGACCGTAAATGCCAGACAATTGATGAGCTCTTGTGCGGACTATTCGTGCTGTCACGACGTCGTGTTTTCTTCAAAATGAGAGGTTCATTTTGACTTGGAAAACCGAGCTGGAACAATCAGTATTAGCAGGCTAGCAGCTACCACCTGGCGAGACAGTATTTTGTTCTTATCACTTGTTGTGTGGAGTCGTGTCAGACCCTGAGCTTTGGGCTCGACTGTGGAGCAATTGTTCATTTATTTATATGAGATGACATGGCACACGTCTTCACAACACATTTTTCAACACAGAGCGTCAGCCTATATTTTGTGCAGGTTTAGTAAATTTCACGTTTATACAAGTAAATACTTAGGGTCTGGCATTTTGCGGCGTTGTCTGGTATGATGTCAGATGACATTATTTTCACCTCATTAAACGTCAATCGATGCCCAATTCTGTTTTGTTTTTTTTTTTCCCAGAGGTAGGGAAGCTGTTACAAGTACAGAATGGGACACCACCAAGCACCAACTACAATGGGGTAGATGCTGTCCATGCCTGTAACATCCTTCAGCAGCTCAAAGCCTTGTATGATGAAGCACAGCTCACAGACATTGTAGTGGAAGTGGACCATGGCAAGACCTTTTCATGTCATCGAAATGTGCTTGCAGCAATCAGTCCATACTTTAGGTACAGTATCGAATGTATGTTGTCTTTTTAATATTTGCAAATGATTGTCACTTATTACCCTTTCAAAAATCTTTTCTTAACAATGGATGGTAAGGTTAATAGGTTAAGATCACTGTGATTATTCAGGTTACAATATAATCGTAATACCATCCACCCATTGCGGGGGCAGCAGCAAAGGTAAACATAAATATAAAGTGCTTACTGTTTATGTCACGTTGACTTTTTGTTTCATTTCATGAAGCTAGTCACACATTGGAGGAATGGTGATTAGAAGTATTACACTGTTTGGTCATGATGTCAATAATTGTGAACAATCGTTAAATCGTTAAATGCTTCTTCTCGCAATAAGTGTAACATTAATATTTTATATGACTTTACCAACTATACTTGCAAAATGTGAATGGAATGTTGATTTTAATAAAGCAATAGAAGTATATTTTAGAATGTGATCATATCATACTCTCAGATGGGGGAAGAGAGTTTTTCCTATTGATGACATTGTACTTTGCCATGAAATATCCTTGAGGGAAATTACAAATATTGAACTTGACCATTTTTACTGGTGACCAGAGCCAGGAACTCACTGTATTACAACAGAAATCTGCATTTTAACAGTATTTGTCTTAGCTTCCCTCGTCTTAATTAAATATTATTGGCCTATAGAATATTGTGGTGTCATCTGAATCCCAGCAATACCTAATATTGGTTCCATTTGACTCTTGCTATATCCCTTGGCATTTTATAATCATTCATCATAAATCAGTAATGCCCTTCAGAAAATTTCAGGTAATTAGGGCCTTTATACAACATAAATATGCATAGACTGTACAAATGACTTCAGTGAAAGTAAAAATGCGACTTTTTCTCCCAAATATAGTCCTGGGATTGGCATAAAGAGCAGTAATGAAGCAAATGACCAGGTCTTGCAAAATCTTGAAGGGCCCACTATTTTTCTGATCTATGTTATGATTTTCCACATCACAAACATAACTGGATTTGTTTTTGTTACATTAACACTCTGCATATTTAGGCTGAGGTCTTCTCTCAAATGGAAAACACCCCACTTCCACCTTGTGATGTCATGTGGTAATACAGGAAGCGCTTCACTGTGCTTTTAAACTTCATACACCTTCAATAGATTCATTTGGATGAGTTCAGTCCTAAAATAGGTCATCTCTTCTGAACTAAAGGTTAAAGGGTAGCTGTCATGAACTACCGTTTCATGACATCACAAGATGGAACTGAGCATTTTGGGCTTTGGAGATGTAAACAGTCTAATAAAAAAGTGTTACTCAAACATGTGTGAATGAAACAAAAAACACAGCTCCAGGTATGTTTTTGAGGAGGTGACAACATTATAACATGACTTAAATCTCACAAGAGTAAATTTTACATAATATAGGACCTTTTAAAGAAGTGCAGTAAAAACCTTTCAGTGTAATACTCACTTTACATGAACTAAAGACCTATTAAGTGTTTTCAAATTGGCATCGAAATGTCTGCGTTGTGCCATTCTCAGGTCCATGTTCACCAGTGGCCTTACAGAAAGCAGCCAGCGTGAAGTCAGAATTGTTGGAGTGGAATCAGAATCCATGCATTTAGTCCTGGACTACGCCTACACGTCCAGGGTCACTCTGTCAGAGTCCAACGTCCAGGCCCTGTTCACTGCAGCCAGCATATTCCAGATCCCAGCGCTGCAGGACCAGTGTGCCCAGTTCATGATCAGCCGACTGGACCCTCAGAACTGTATAGGGGTCTATATGTTCGCTGATGCATATGGACACCAGGAGCTGCGGGAGCGATCCCAGGACTACATCCGCAAGAAGGTCGGCCAAACATATTGTGCTCATTTTCACAGGACGTTTATTCTCGTCATTGATTTAACTTTCATTTCATTGTTCAAACAAATGCATCTATACAGCTGCATCAGTAGCTGCACCATATTTGTCTTCACAACATGTAAATTTACCCAGCACCTCCTCTTATTCACAATAACTGCATTAATAACCAATGAATTAAATTATAGTATACTTAACTTAGGCTGAATGATGTAGCATATGTGTTATAAACTAGTATTACAATTGTAATAATGGTAATAGGCTAGTTGCCAGAAGAGGAGGTATTACTCTGGTAGAGAGTTGACAGAGTGAGAATTGCGTTTGGTTGGTACTATATATTGAAGTAAATAGACATAGACGTTATCCTAAATCTTAAAATGTAGTATGATTTGGAGTGGAAGTAGTGCAGATTCATAAATGACTGGCAAAAATGACAGGCTGGTCAGATTTGACACCTGGGTTACAGTGAGTTTGAAAATGTATCTAATTGTCATATTTGTCTGACAATAACAATGTAACAATGATTTCTTTTTAAGAATATTATGAAATCTGACTTTTTCTCTTTTGTTTTCAGTTCTTGTGTGTATCCCGAGAGCAGGAGTTCCTCCAGATGACCAAGGAGCAGTTGGTGAGCATTCTGAACAATGATGACCTAAACGTGGAGAAGGAGGAGCATGTGTATGAGAGTATCGTGCGCTGGCTGGAGCACGACTTACCTGGCCGCGAAGCCCACCTGGCAGAAGTCTTTTCACAGTGTATCCGTCTACCACTCCTAGACGAAGCCTTCCTCAATCGAATACCCGCCCCGTTCGCCTGCGCCCTGTCTATCTCCAAGGACCCGGCCGAGACTAAAGCACGTCTCACTGGCACCAACGGCTGCCCTCAGCGCCTGGGGATGACCGCGTCTGAGATGGTCATTTGTTTTGACGCCGCTCACAAACACTCAGGGAAGAAGCAGACGGTGCCTTGCCTGGATACTGCCGCAGGAAGAGTGTTCAAGCTCTGCAAACCACCAAACGACCTGCGAGAGGTAGGCATCCTGGTGTCCCCAGAGAACGACATCTACATTGCCGGGGGCTACAGACCTAGCAACAGTGAAGTGTCCATAGACCACCGAGCAGAGAGTGACTTCTGGCAGTACGAGCATGCGGGCAACAGGTGGCTCCCGCGTGCTCCCCTGCTGAGAGCAAGGATTGGCTGTAGGCTGGTTCACTGCTGCGGGAAGCTTTATGCACTGGGAGGACGCGTGTATGAAGGAGACGGGCGCAATGCGTTAAAGTCAGTGGAGTGCTATGACGCCAGAGACAACTGTTGGACAGCAGTCAGTCCTATGCCTGTAGCCATGGAGTTTCACAGCGCTGTGGAGTACAAGGACCGGATATATGTTCTACAAGGTGAGTGTGGTTAGGGACTCTAATCATAAGAATCTAATGTTAATGCATGCAAACTTGATCTTTTGTGTGAGGTTTGATTGCCAGGTGGAATCAGCCATCAAGCTGGAGGTTGTACTGGAGCAAAATGGGACTTTGAATTTGGTCTACAGTGTTTATGTGAACTGTATAGAAGTATAACTCTACAATTTCATTTTTAGTTTTCCTGAAATTGTACTGTAGTCAATGAAAATATGAAAAAGTTATCTTGAGAGGAGAATTTGCTGGTCCATTAAGAGAGATCTGGCTGCAGACCTCCACCTAGAGGGCCAACCCACAGACCTGCACCAAGATGACCTCACATGACTTGCGTCCATTCACAGATCCCTAAACATAAACAAACAGTGGCCATGCCTAAAAGCCGCCAAAGTCCACTGTTTCCTGACCTCTGTTTTCAATGAAACATTACTAAATCCTACACCAGTTTATTTATGCAGTGCTATTAAAAACAACCAAAGTGCTATACAAAGAGATAAAAAAAAAAAAACATGTGTAATGCAGTGAAAAATATATACAACAATTGCTGAACAGTAAAAGACCTCCAAACTAGTTAAAAGTCAAAGAAAACAAATTAAGAAGTGATTTAAAAACAACAAGAGAGTCAGCTTGTTTAATGTGAATAGGCAGCTCATTCCGTAATTTAGAACCAAAAACAGAACATGCTCTGTCTCCTCTAAGATTCCTCCTGGGCTGAGGAACCATGAGCAGACCCTGGTCACTGATCTGAGGAAGCGCATCAGAGAGTATGGCACCAGCAGGTCAGCAAGGTACTGCGGTGCAAGGCCATTTAGGCATTTAAGACAAAAGTATTTTAAAATCCACTCTGAAACGGACAAGGAGCCAGTGAAGAGCAGATAGGATTGGGGACACGTGGTCTAGTTTCTGTGAACCAGTTAGAAGACTGGGTTATGCCAACATACACAGCATTGCAATAATCCAATCTTGTCTTGACGAAAGTGTGGATCAAAATCTCGAAATGGTGTCTTGAAAGTGATGGCTTTATCTTTGCCAGTTACCTCAAATGAAAAAAGCTAGCCCTTACCACAACACTAATTTGTTTGTCAAGTTTAAAGTCTTGATTAGTTTTCACTCCCAGGTTTATGACAGTGGGTTTGACAAAATGTGCCAACAATCCTAGATGACCTGAAACATCACTACCAGCACAATTTGGACCAACTAACAAAACCTCAGTCTTTTGATCATTAAAATAAAAAATAGAATCAGTCTTAACATCATTAATCCAGTCCAAGAGATGAGTGGCACAATATTCATTCTGACGCTTAAGAACAGTCCTAGGGGAAGCAGGTAGAGTGGAATAAAGGAGTGGCCCAAGGATGGATCCTTGGGCCACTCCTTTTTTCATCCACATGACAGCATGTGGATGAAACACAATCACTAACCCGAACATAAAAAAATAATTTTGTAGGCGACACAGGAGGATATCGTGGTCCACTGTGTCAAAGGATGCAGTCGAATACAACAACAGCAGAACAATGGTGTGACCAGTGTCAGTAGATACAAGAATATAATAATTAATAACCCTTATCAATGCTGACTCAGTACAGTATTTTAAATGAGCCTTATCACATTTATAAGACGGTATCAGTTGTAGCCTTTAGTTCATAGTTCAAAGTGTAATTAAGTCATTTATAAAGTAAACTGAAATGGCGAGGCACATGTGGGTGGAAATGCATCTAGTACAAGTCTGTGGGATAGGGTCCTCTGGGTGTAGGTCTGCAGCCAGAGTCCCTTGGTTACATTTGATGATAAAACTAGTATTATTTCTCCTTCTACAGGTGAATACTTTTTCTATTTCGATCCCCGAAAAGACTATTGGAGCCACCTTCCATCCATGTGCGTCCCTCGAAGCCAGGGCCTGGCTGCCTTGTACAAGAACTGCATCTACTACATCGCTGGCATCTGCCGAAACCACCAGCGTACCTTCACCATGGAGGTCTACGACATTGAGAAGAACACTTGGAGCCGTAAGAGGGATCTGCCTTTTGACCAAGCCACAAGCCCATACATCAAGGCCATGCTGCTCCAAGGCAAGTTGCACCTGTTTGTGCGAGCCACGCAGGTCATGGTGGAGAAGCACGTGTTTCGTACCAGCCGCAAGAACTCCCTTTACCAGTACGACGACGAGGCTGACGCATGGACCAAAGTGTACGAGACGCCCGACCGCCTCTGGGATCTGGGCCGCCATTTTGAGTGTGTGGTGGCCAAACTCTACCCACAGTGTTTGCAGAAAGTGCTTTGATGAAGGGGAGAGTTGGTCAAACCCAGTGGATGTGGCGGAGGGAGTAGTCTGATCGTGCCTGCCCTGTGCCTGGTGTTTCCTTGGGTGTCTACCACAAGGACATTTTTTTTGTTAGGTCTTACGTTGTTCAATGTTTGGTTCTAAGTGATCAAATATGGGGTGCTTTTTAAAAATTGCAGTATTTTTTTTTTTCTGTCCAACAGCACCGACACGATGCTAACAAAACCGTACAATGAATCATAAGTGCAATTATACTATATTTTGCTTAATGTTGAGCCATTCTATTTTTGTTTCAGATGCATATAGCTATAGGACATTTACAAATGATAAGCATGCAAGTGAGCGCCATGAGGGCAAATGAAAAGTTCCCTCTGGAGCTGTGGATGTTACATGTCCAGATCTCTCTATATAAATAACTATATAAAGTCTATATTCATACGGGTAAGGTGACAACCGTAGCTTAGTTCTAGGTTTGGCTCAAAAATGTGTGTGTGCGTTTTTCCCTGTTTAGTCTTTCTGCAACTCATTTGACAGAATTTTAATTTGATGTGTGCTGGACATTTACATTACTGTTTTGATCCTTGTGTAATACTTTTATGACCCTCATCTGTCAGTGTGTCAAACAAAACCCCTCTGTGTTGCTCCAAAGCTACTTTTAAGTTGTTAAACATTTTAGTTGCATGGAGCCTCATGTTTTAGGTTGGCATCCATTTTGTGTCGTGTGAACTTACCTTGTGAAATTGAAAGTGAACACTCACTCTCCACATTGGAGAAATAAGGAGTTAAATTGTGGCAACACTTAGTGGAAAGTTGAGACCAACTAACAGGCTTACCTCAGAAGTCTCCGATATTTGACAAAGAGAAAAGGGACATTTAGGCAAATGTGCTATAGTAAGCTCTATTGAGTTGAATTGCATCTTATTGGCCAAAACAAGCATTAGAATACTTGTTCTGGTAGATCTGGACAAATTATTTTGTGGTAGCAATAACTTAAACTAACAGAACTGTGATTAGGCTATATATTCTTACCTTAGTAAAGTGCATTAATTGTGTGTGAGAATCGCCAACATTCTTACGTTTGGCTGTTGCATGGGTACAGACTTGAAGTGATCCGTAATTCAGCGCAGATCATCTGGGATGCCAATGTGCCTGTGGCTTGTAAGGAGGCATCAGAATCAATAACTGTTTCTCCTGATGAAGTAAAGTCTTAAATCAGCTTTGCACTGAATCACTCTCCACTTCAGTGGTCCTTCACTGCAAACCTTCCCAAGCACCCTCCTCACGCCACAGACTATAGCGCAGTGAGTGAGGGTGACCTGGCCTGTGTCCAATGCATCAACAGTCACCAATCCATCTCTTCATGACATCACACGAGGACACTACTGGTGCTGCTTTTTGATTTGTGACAATCTCTTGTATAGAAGTAATCTCACCACTGAGTGGCGTTCCTTGTCAATGTGACATTGTCAGTGGCGTCAATGTCCTCATGCAAGTACCTGTGTCATCTTTGCACTACATCTTTACATCTTTGTTATCTTAAAGAAGTTTACCCCTCGATAACAGGTTCTCCTATAGCAATCATCTAAGGGATTTTTATGGAAATGCTAACATTTAGTAAAGACTTGTTCAAACTTCTCCAAGAGAAGAACCAATGCTATTTTTAAATTGACCTTTGGCTTGGACAGTGCCCTAACAATAGCCCACATCAAGAAGAAGCAAAGGTTTGAGCTCCATCCACATGTCTATGGACGGCCATTGGAGAACTAGAAAGACAAACTCTCAGGATCTACTGATACACAGTACTGTATTTAAATGTTTTGTTATGTGTAATATACTGTACCATAGTTTTGCTGTACTTGCACAGTTTTCTAAACTCTTCAGTTTCTTTTTATAACTTGAAAAATAGATGTGACTTCTTTGTTGTCTTCAGTGGCTGTTTTCTTTTAGTTATGTTAGTGTTTCTTCCCCTATAAGAATTATTCACAAAAGTTATGCATTTTGATTGTTTTTTTCTCTTCTGTAGAATAGTGGCATTTTATTTAACACAATTTTAAAAAGCATTACACATCACACTTCTTCATATTGTCTTCTCCCCACACCAGTCACATTGTACAACAAGCTAACAGACGACTGTATGTGTTCATTTGTTGTGGTCTTAAGTCTCGAAGCATCGCAGTTCATTTTCTTGCCATCCATTTGCATCATTGATCTAATAGGTGCTGTAGCATTGTGCCAGCAATGCACTACATTTCTTTCCTGCTTTTACTTTGCTTGGTTTGGTTTGTCTGGGTTATGGAATTTAATGGTGGTTGAGCTCAACTGTGAAATTCACATTGCACATAATTTGAAAATAAAATAACTGAAAATATTTGCTGTGTCTCTTCATGCACGTGAGAAAAAAAAAAAACATTTGCACGCACATCTCTTAGTAGCTCTTGGGACTAACGGGACACGTGATGCTTCGTCAATAGTACTTTACATAAAGTCTATGTACTCTGTGGCCCTTTGCCAAAACAGCTCCTACTGGCCCTCCGGAGCCCTTCACACCACACCCGCTGTGAAGTGCCCTTTGGAGGTCCCTTTATCACCGCTCCAACTTCTACCTAAGTTTAATGGAGTCTGATACTCTTAACGCTACATTATGTCGCCACCTTCTCTTGTTTTTCTGTTTGTACTGTGTAAATATTTGTCAAACTCAAACATAAAGTCACCTGAATATTCATATATTCCCATTTACACCAGTGTTTTATGCAGTGCACTTCTTTCAGCATGTGTCCAAATCTTCATGAACAGTTCTGCATTTCATGATGGTATGAATCATTAGTTTTCATACCATATCTTGGAGAGATATGTAATGCGTGTTAAATTAGTGCAGCTTATTTCACATCTTACCAGTGAGTAAAAATGTCTTATGTAGGCTATGTATATCTTGTTTCCACTATGTGTCCACTCCAAAATAAATGCATTTCACCTCAGTGGTAATTAATTTCAAGTACAGACGCTTAAATGACCTTACTGATTTCTAAATTACGACGTGCAGCCTAGATTTGGACATATGTAACTAAACTATAGAAGAAGGCTCTGTGGTGTTACGCGTTACCCGTTTAGGGCCACCCGTACCCGCTGCACCCTCACGGAGAAGGGCCTCTCCCATGGGGCTTGATCGTTTGGGACGACACTCCCCCTCGCGGGAAAAGCACAAAACCGAGTGTTAAGGCGAAGAGAAGGGACAAGGGCTCCGTTTGGTATAGGACCCGCCTATCCAAAGTTTGTCCCCTAATCAACTTACAGTAGCTACAGGCAAGATCGGGGACGGGAAAACACACTGGAAGGTAGGATCGATAGAAAAACTAATCTGTATGTAATTCCTGATCAGGACGCTCAGATTTAACGCATGTAACCAAATGCATACTTTATTTCAAGTCATTGTCCACGTGGGCTGTGCGAGTTTGCCTTCTCATGGTAGCATGGTGATGACTGTGTAAATCAGCAGGCTGTCAGGGATTTTTTTTGTAAAGTTCCATATCTAAGCTTTATAATTTGGTGCGGTAGACTTTTCTGAGTTTCAGCGGTATCATATCAGCCTCTTTAGTTTACAAACCCCGTGTCGAAAAATGCACTTTAGACACAGGTCCATATTTTGGTTTAGGCCATGTGACGCCTATTAGATAATGATTTAAACTCTTGTGTTTGGGATGATTCTAAAGAAAACAGACTTGTCTTTCATTTAAGTCCGTGTGTGACCGTCTCTCTCAATTACCATGGTTTCAAACTGCCACGTGACAACAGTTTTCACCATTTTCGCCTGATCTGTTGAACTATTTTTATTGTTGAAAACTCCAGGAACACGGTAGACACACATTTGTGATACTAAATTACTCTGTGGCATTTGAGGATTCAGAAAACGTATAATATTTTTATTTATGTAATTATGTAATGTTTGAAAGCAGAGCCAGTGAGCCATGACGTGCAACAATAATTCTCATAGAGGCGCATCTCTCATAGAACTCAGCCTTTTTATTAAATTTTAACTTTATTTAACCAGAAAGTCCCTTGAAATTCAGAATCTTTTTCAAGAGAGGCCTTCCCCAGGTAGCAGCCAACACAATTAGTACAAAACTATATCTCTTATTCCAGTTTCTCATGGTTTAAAAGCCTGTTTAAACAAAAGGTCAATTTGATTAAATGTTTTTTATTTGAGTAAAATAATCTGGTGTTTTCAATTAGGCAGGTTAAAAAAATATTTACGTACTATTTATCTTGGAACAAATACTGCAAACATAGATTAACACTTCAGTAATCTGTTGCAGGTATCGCAGTGTTTATAGCTTATCACAGAGTTATAGGTATCAGTGTTTACAGCCTAGGCTATAAACTAAGCTATTTTTTATTTTTGTAGGCTACTCACTTTCATATAATTAGAAATGTGGGTGTTGAGTTCGAAGCAATTTGTTGTTGTTCTTCTGACGTGTTCTCTTTTATTTATTTTTTTTTAAGTCACGTTGAGTTTGTGTCACTTTTTATAACTTTTTATTGAAAATGTGCAGCACAGCCGTAGACTGAATCTACCTTACTCTGCCTCACTCACTTGTGTCTCTAAAAGCGCCAGAGCTTCTGGTGGCTCTTCTGGTTAAACAGGGACCCATTCATTTCAGTGGAGAATTTGAGAAACCTTTTGCTGCTTAAATATGACATAAAGTAGATTAATTTGTGTAAAAATGTTCATTGTTTATGTGCACCAGCAAGTGAACACTGCACCGATTCTTCATGTTCTGTGGGGCTACAGCGGCAGCCCCATGTAAAATTATAGAAACTGAATGATGATGGCAGCGGACATGGCAACTTCTGTAATAAGGTGATTGCAGAAGTGGAGAGAGAGTGTGATGTCACCCATAGCATGGATTCAGTCAAATGAAGCTCACAAGGTTAACACTTACAGGGGCGAATTTGGAGTTGAGTTCCATATTATGAATAGAAATTGAGTTACAGACAAAATATAAAAAAACAAACAAACCAAAAAAAACCCACCAGGAATATGTATAGGGGGTTAATGCGAACATTTTAAGACTAAAATGAGAGAGAGAGAGATTTTCTTGATCCCAAGGGAAATTTGCTGCAGCACTATTACATTGCACTTCTCAGTCTAAGATGTCAGTGCAGTTTAACAGGAGGACAGGTCAGGCATCTTGCACACACTTGTCTTCATGGATTCAGGAAAAACAATGTTCATTTCACACTATCCTACAGTCCCTTGTGTTCGTTCCCTCAAAGTATTGTCTCTGAAGGGTCTCAGTGGATTTCCTCTGGAAGGTCTTCTGTTACATTTATTACCACATATGGTGTAAAAAGTCTGTAGCATCTCAAATGTCCTTAGCTAGCCTCTTGCACTATCTCCATGGATACGAAACGGCTCATTTCACGCAGTCCAACAGTCCCTTAATTGTGTCCCCTGAACTGCACACGCTGCACCTCCCAGCCGGCCAAAATCCCATGATACAATGCCAAAAACTGAGCTAAAAAAAAGTTTCAAAAACTGCTTAGTGTTTGAGCCAGGCAGCCACAAACGTAGCCAGACCTCTGTTGCCATGGGAATCATATGAATGAGGAGCCTGACACAGCAGTTATGGAGACGGGCGACGTTTTTTCAGTACAAAGTAAATTGGAGCCAGAGTCGATGGAGACACCCATGCTCATTTCCTACTTGGAACATGGCGGCTAGCAGGTTAGCTGTGTCCTGTATATACAGTGTACGGCTGCCATATCTTCTGATGGACAGTGCACAATGTTAATTCTTTCCCTCATTTAAAGCTTCTCTAATATAATGATGTGCTTTGACCTCCAAACACTGTTACACATGTACATCTTACTGTCCATCCCATTCACAGTACACACATTACAGTCCATGCTTTCCTGTGTGGTAGCAGTTAGCCTTATGTACTTGACAATGTCACTTTTGTCTGTTCCTTTATTTTCCAAGATATTACTGCACCTTGTTTTGTGAGACCAAACCCGTACCCTGTTGAACCACATCTGTCAATTAGTGAAGATGCCCAGTCACCGACTGCTATTAAATTTAGTTCTTCCTCATTTTTCTCAAAGACTAACTCATAGTCATTTTTGCCTGTAAGATATTTTAGGACTGTGCCATCACTAAATCCTCTTTTTGGTTGTGCTAAGGTTTGTGAGAGTTTGCTGACAACCCAGCTAATGTCGAGTCTTGTGCAAGTCATGGCATAAATAAGAAGCCCACAAACTCCTGGGACTCTCTTGGGTGAACAATCTCACATTTGTCATTTCCTTCATTTGTGGTCATGTTTGTTTTCAACTCACAAAGTGTAGACCTGGGTGTACTTTCAGGCAAAGTAGTCAGTTCAAATGTCCAGTTTTCTTTGAGAGAGTTCATTCATCTCTTCTGCCATTGCTTGTTCCCACCTGGAAGCCTCTGGTGATATCAGAGACCCTTTAAAGGTTTGAGGGATCCCACATGTCACCGTGTAACAATACAGAGATTAAAAGCTCATTTTTACAGTTTGATTCAGTTTGTTTCCCTCTTTAGATAGTGTCATTGTTCACTTTGTTCCTCGGTCTGTTTAATGTCTGTGTGGGCAATTATTTTTTCCATGTGGCCACATGAGAAACAGAAAATATCGTGGAGGTCCGGGCCAGAATGCTTAACTCCATTCTGCATAATATGAATTCTTTATTTATTTTAAAAAAGCAGTAAATATCATTGTTTTGAGAAGCTGGTCAGACTGGTAAGAGTGTATGTTATAACTAAGCAATGAAAAAGTGAGGTTGCCTTACAAAAAATGTAATAAAAAATATAAAGCAATAAAAAAAATAATAAAAGCAATGCAGCTTTAGTCCATGTGTTAGGTAAAATTATAAAATATGTTTATTTTGTAATTCCAAATCAGTTTCAATGGGCCGGTGCTCCTGTATCAAGGACATCTAGGCTAAAGGTTATTCCTTAGGTGCTTTTTGGCTTTGATTTTATATTTCTGCGTCAGTAATTATCAGTATGTGTAAATCAACTTGTTCAGCTACACCCATTTTGATAACTTGATTAGTCTATGATCTGATATTTTTCTTGTGTTTGTTTTACAGATTAGATATGGAGGACTATCTTAACTATAATCCACAAATATTCCCTTAACACACCTTACATAGGACCTCAATGCTTTAGGTAACCCCTTTTCCAACAACAGACAGCTTTTCATCTCAAATAGAGTTCTGCATTGTCTTTCAGCCGTGCCTTTCTAATGATGAGAATATTATGCCTCTTTCTCGCAGTAGTGTCTGAAAGGAGCTTCTTGTAAATTCATTGCCATTATGTGATCTAATGCACTTGACACGGCCATAAGGTGC